TCCAACCTCAATCTTCCTTCCCTCAACTTCAAACCATTTTCCCTTGTCCTGCTGTTATTCACCCTTTCAAAGAGCTGACTCCCCTCCTGTTTGTAGGCTCCCTTTAGGTACTGGAAGGCTGAATCTGAGATCTGAAATCCATGGTGAGTGGTATTCCTGCAACTATTTTTATTTGTGAAGCACGCCTGAGCACCGACCACGAATAGAATAGCATGGGAGAGGCTCTGGAAACAACTCTAAAAGCAGAATGGATATCAGTGGAACACAAAACGCCAGCTTGATGTAAAGAGTTGTCAAATCAATACCTTGCATGATAAGCTCTAAGTGATGCTCGGGCTTTTCTTACTAATCCCATCAAATATTTCCGGTATGAAAGCCTGACCTCCCACACTTCCAGGTGTTGTGGCACACCTATATGTATATATTTATCTCCTTTTAACCTTTAGGACCAAATCCAAACAGCACAGCTTAGCTAGAGCCAAGGATCCAACAGCTCAATGAACAACACCCCAAATCCCACCTAACTCCAAGGATTTGAGGAGCTCACATTTTATCTGAACTGCTCAAATGGTACCCACAGTGCCTGACCTGAGATGCCACTACACTGCTGCAGACCCCTGGTTTACCCATCTCCTGCCTTAGGACACACCAGACTCACGAGCTGTGTGTCCACCCCCAGTTACCCACCACTGGAGAAGAAACCCTCCAGAAGGTGCTCATTGTTAAGATGTGTCCTCCATGAGATGGGAGAGGATGGGCTGTCCAGCCTAAAGTCTACATTCTTGCTGAAGACAAAACAGAAATCCCAGTGATTTCTCTGTAGGGAGACGTTTTGGTTTCATTGCTCCCACAACTCTGTTTTTCAGACTTGCTTGCCTCAGGCCAACATGGGAAGGTGAAATAAAGCACAGAAACCTGTTCTCACCCTTAATCATCTTTGCCACTCCCCAGTGGGCTCCTTCTAGGAAACCTCTGTCCTTTTTGATCAGGGGGTCCCAGAACTGGACACAGTCATCTGGCTGAGAAGAACCATCCTCCAAATGCCAATGACTGCATCCCCACTGAGAATTAAATCATAGAATGGCTTGGATTGGAAGGGACAGTTGAGATCATCTAAATCATCTAGACCACCTAGCATGACATGGGCAACCTAGTTATGGACAGTATAGTAGGATCCAGATGTCAGCATCACTGGGAATGCCCTACAGCACTTTGGCTCCCAGCCCATTCTGGTGCAAGTCTCACAATATGCTCTGGCATCCAAAATAGCAGCTGCATTCATGGAGGTGAATCCCAGCAGTCTCTGCTAAAGGTGAGAAACTGTTGGGAGGCCTCCCACGTGCTCCACGAGGCATTAGTAACATTATAAAACCCCAAACTTACCCAACAGACCTCAGTTTCTGTTGAGGTTTGGTAACAGTGAGGTGCCCTGCTGATGGCATGCAGGTCTTTCAATCAGCAGCAGGGACACAGAAAAACAACCTGCAAAGCCTCCTGATGCCATAAAGTCTACTGGCAGCTGGGCAATTCAGGTTAAATTTAGTCTGCAGTACAGAGGTCACGTCAGTCGCCGAGATCATAAAAAAAAAAAGAGAATAAAAAGTCCTGTGTTGCACAGGCTTTATGTAATGCCAATGCTGCTCTCAATTGAGAGGTGAACCCTGCAGCTGGGAAACGCACCCAGCTTGCTCCTGCCACTGCCTCCTGGCATTAAAAAAAAGGAACAATGAAAGGAAAGGATTACATTTGCTCAGATGGGCATCTCTTTACCCCTCTGTGCCATACCCAGGCAAACCAGGCTGGTGGAGGAGGTACACGGCTCCCACTTCTGCTCATCTGGACTCACACGTATTTTTTGACATTTTGTACTGTTTTGGGAGCAGGAAAGTAGCTCTTAGGTGGTCAAGTCCAGGGCTGATGTTAGAGCCAAGCTTGACTGATCTTCAGATGGCTTCTGTGCAGCTGCTGGACCCTCTGCTGGGATCACTGCGCAGTCAGACCACCGCAGCCCAGCTCCTTGCTGCTCTCCTTCCCTTGGTAGCAATCACAGCAGATCTTCTTCCCAGTCTGCACCAGGTGGCCAGTTGTCATTTACTTTTCATCGTGGCAGTGTGGCTCTTCAGCAGAAACACTGCTCGTGGTCCTGCGTTGAGTACCCTGCGTACCTGAGAGCATCCTCACTGCTCCCAGCCTGCTGGCAAGGCTGCACAAGCAGAGATGTGCAAAGAAGCGTTTCCTTTGGGCTTAAAGTTTGTTGTGACTTCCCTACATCCTCGTATCAACAAATAGGAAAAAAAAAAAGAAAGCAACAAGTGGAAACTTTTGCTTTCCCTCTCCTTATCCCAAAGGATGCTCTGGCACCGGGCAGCTCTCTATGCTCATCCCACTATACCTCCACCCCGGTGGGGAGATTTTGCCCTTGCAGGACTGGGTTGGGCAGAGCCGATTCCTGTCATGTTTTATTGCAGGGTAAAGTGGTGGAGTGCCCTTTATGGTGTTTTGAAAGGAAATTGTACAGGAACAATGTCCCGGGCAGTGTGGCTATTGAAAACCCTTCACAAAGGGAGTTTGCCACAAGAGGAAAAGCTGCTTAATCAGTCCAACTAATCACCGTAGGTGGTTGAGAGTCCCCGAGGGTCCGTAAAATCAAATAGAATGGGAAAAGAAATCTATCACAGCTTGCCTACACTTCTCCTGGAGCCACCGGCGGATCTGGGACGCTCCCTGCCTGGCCCCGAGCCTGCGGTCACCGTCCTCTGGGCTGTCCCCACGTAGCACAGCGCTCGTCCCAATGCTGGGGATGTGAGGATGAGCCCTCGAGATGTCCTTCAGCAGCGTGGTGGCCATAGGGTGGGATGGTGGGGCTGGGGACAATGAGCAGGGCAGGGTTGCCCACCCTCCTGCTGTCACCCCAGATGACCTCGAATGGCTTTCGGCGTCTGCAGGAGGGGTCAGCGGTGCTTACACAATTCTCAGGAAGAGGAAACTGTCCCTGACAGCCACCCGCAGCTCTCTGGGGAGGGAGGATATTTCTGCCTCCCCTAGCTCTCCATCTCATTAGAAGCAACACCCAAAAGAAAAAAAAAAAAAAAAAAAAGGCCCAAAGAAAAAAGAAAAAATGAAACAAAGCAGCCAGACTGTTTTTTTCCTGATCATTAAAGTGTAAAGCCAAGTTAAATGTAGGAAGCAAATTGGGACAGTGAGAGAGAAAATTCGGGAACGTTTCTGGAATCTCACTATCAAAAGGAATAGGGGCATGCTGAGGAGAGATAGGGAAAGCTCCCACCCTTTATACTCTGGGAGGTCTTTGGAAAGAGGAGATGAATAACTCACAGGGTTTTACATCATCCTCGAGTCATTACCCTGCATTACCCAAAGGCAGACCACCAACCCCCCCCAACAGCCAACAAGAGGTGACAGAACCAATGGGACGATGACGGTGCCAACTTTTTATGAGTTCCTATTCCCCAGCAACCTTCCCCTGGACCTCAAACAAAGCAGTCTGCTTCCTGAGGTGGTGATCACAGAATGGTAGGGGTTGGATCTCTGGAGATCACCACGTCCAGCTGTCCCAGGGCTTTGGCTGGCTGGGCCCTCCATCCCCAGCCACTGTCCTGGGATGCCACAGAGTGGGTTGTGTTGGGGTGGGATGGAGGAGAAGGCTTGAGAGAATGAGTCTGTTGTTCTCCATATTGCAGCCCTGTGGAGGTCAAACTGAACAGCCTCTGCTGTTGGCTGGGAAGGGTGGGTCTTGTAGCAGCAAATAGCAGGTTAGCATTTGGGACAAGAAAAAAAAAAAAACAACCCACTGGTATCCAGGAGCTGCTTTCATGAACATATGTGGCTGACATCAATCTGTCACCAAAAATGTGCCAAGCAGACTAAAGTCAGTGCTCCTCAACTGGGAGAGCTGCAGCCTGGTTCAGCACCTTTAATCTGATCTTTGTGTCTCTTCTATGCAACAAATGAAGCACGCACTCCATGGCAAAATTAAAAAATTACTCATGTGACGTAAAACCTTGGGTTGCCCTAATCCAGCTCTGCCCCTGGGACATCACCCTGCACACCCTTCCACTCAGATATTTGTTCTGGGGTGGTCCCTTGCCCCACATCTCCCAGCAGCAGCCCAAGGCAGCTCTTTTCAGTCCAGCAAGGCATCATACCTCAGTGCAAAGAAACCACTGGCTGCTCCTTCTGAGAGAAGAGATACCCTCATGTAACTAAATATGCAACTTAAACAACTGTATCATTAAATTCATTCAACAGGTTGAAACCACCATTGCCACAGGAACTCAGCTGACTGCCTTGTTAGCACATCCCCTCCTTAACGCAGGGCATCTTGCTGCAAGCCCTGCTCAACCTATTCTGGAAGTGTACAAGGGAAAGAGGGAAAGCAAACCACAACATTCAACGCCTTCACAGACAACACCTTGCAGTTGCCTCTTCTAAAGGAAGCGTGGAAGTTTGCCTATGCAGGAATATATGTCAGGGTCAGATGGACACACCATTTCCCAGACCTCAGTGCTCCTGGAGCAAGAGAGGTAGCATACCAGATTTCAAAGGCAAACCATGGGGACAGATATATACTTCACTTTCTGGCTGTCAGTGCTCCAGTAATGGTTTGTGTTGACTCAGAGGTGACAGCTGCTAAACAGCACTATTCACAGAAACACAGAACCATAGAATGGTTGGGTTGGAAGGGACTTGAAGATCGTAGAGCCATACAATGGTTGTGTTGAAAGGCAGCTTGGGGATCACAGACCCATAGAATGGTTGGATTGGAAGGGACCCTGAGGATCATAGAACCATAAAAACGAGTTGGACTGGAGGGACCTTAAAGCCCCCCAAGTCCCATGTCTGCCATGGGTTGGCTGCCCCATTCATGGCACTGTGCACCTCCAGGGATGGAAGTGTCCATAGACATTCCACGAGACAGTGGGGAAAGATGTGCAACAGGGACAATAAGGCTAAAAAGAATTTTGAAGAGAGGTTTCACTTACCTCCTGTCGTTTCTCCTCCTTCTGAACAGCTTTTTGGTGTGTGCGATTTCAGCTTCATGAGGCAGTGGGTGGTAACCCTGGAAAAGAGGGAAAAGCAATGTTCAGCTCCAGGATACAGCAGGCACTGACTGAGCCCCTGGGGAAGGGATGAATGCCATCCACCGATTGGGCTGACCAGGACAGTAAATGTCTTGCCCAAAGCAAGCTGGAGGCAGAGCTGCAGTTTCCCCACTTTGTCCTCTCCCCAGTGAAGGTGCCAGGTCACCCCATGCTCATTTGGTGTGTTGGTCTGGTCAAGTGAATTCCTTATTACTGCCCTACTACGGGCATCATGGGGCCTCATTAATGTGAGCACAGCGTTCTGAAGTTCCTGGAGGAAAGTGCAAAGCATTATTTATTTTCCAGGGACTAGAGAGCTGTCATAACTGCAATGATTTTTATTTATGTAGCACTGTATTTCCCAGGCTGGCAATAAAAGCCTCGTAAAACTCGCTCCTTCTACTTCCATAGCGATCTGTCTTATCCTTCAAGCTGGTGAATCAGCCTGGACATCACTGAAAAGAGCCTGGAAATTTTTGATGTCAAGCTGCTTAAAATTATACTGAGGCTCTTCCATTACTGCACAGTACGGTTTGAGCCCTTCTCACCCATCTGGTCACTATTTTTTTATTTTTTTTTTTTCCAAATGCATTGGAGGAGCTTAAGCCTCAGAGACCTCTGCTCCTCTGAATCATAGAACTGCTCAGGTTGGAAAAAACCTTCGAGATCATCAACTCCAACCTCAACCTAACCATACTACCCTAACAACCCTCTGCTAAATCATGTCCCTGAGCACCATAACCAATGTGCTTGCAGTTGGCTAATGAGTACCAAAGTGAATGGGAAAAGGAAAGGAGGGAGCAGACCCACTGCCCAGTCATATCAGCTGTACTTGATTAAGAAACAAGGCAAAAAATAGGACAATACTCAGTGAGACTGCTTCCAAATGTTTCACTAGCACAGTTAAGCTTGAGGTACTTTTAAGAATTTAAACTGCATGTCAGAAGCATGTGTAAATACAATTACCCTGAAAACTGAAACCATCTCTGCAAAGCACGAGCACCCAAAGTGCCAATTTCCTACGAGTTGCTAGTACATCTTGGGAGCTGCATTCTTGCTCGTTCCAAGGAGAAACCATAGGGAAAGTGGTGCCATGCTGCTCCTCCTCAGCCCTTGGGCATCCAGAGGGTGTGAGGGATGGGTTAATTCTATGGGAATACATCTCCCAGCCCAAAAAGGAATGGATTAACTCCATGGGAATACATAGCCCAACCCAAGGAGGGGTGGATTAATTCCAGGGGAAGATGTCCCCTAGCCCAAGGAGGGGTAGGTTAATTCCATGGGAAGATGTCTTGCAGCCCAAAGAGAGATGGGTTAATTCCATGGGAAGATGTCCCCCAAATCAAGGAGGGATGGATTAATTCCAAGAGAATGCATCCTGCAGCCCAAGGAGGAACGAGTTGATTCAATGGGAGGATGTCCCGCACCCCAAGGAGAAATGCATTAATTCCATGGGAAGATGTCCCCCAGCCCAAGGACGGATGGGTTAATTCAATGGGAATGCATCTTCCAGCCCAAGAAGGGGTGGATTAATTCCATGAGAATGCATCCCCCGACCCAAGGAGCCTGAACAGAACGTGCCCATGAGGAGAGGCAGGCGCTCCCAAGCTGAGCGGTTCCCTTCCTTAGTCCTAGGCATGAGACAATGTTTTGGAAAAAAAAAAAAAAAAAAAGTCACCAGTCCCTACTCTTGTCTATTTCAGTCCTTAAGCAGAGCTAAATTTGGAAGGGAGAAAAGTTGACTTTTTTTTTTTTTGTGTGTGTGGGGAGCTGATGTAAAAGGAAATATCGGCGACTTCCAAGGAGGGTGGAGTGCCTGGAGAAGGCGAGGGCACGGGTTGGGTGCAGGCCAGAGTCCCAAGGGCACGGCACGCACTTTTATGACATCTGTGTGTTCTTCACTTTGCCTGCAGGCTGCTCCCCAGTGCAGGTTGTGCAGCGCAGTGCTGGAAGCTGAAGCTGGCTCACCGAAGACGATGTGGGTCTGCAACGATTCTTCTAATTCCATAAAATATCCCCAGTTGGAAGGGATCCATAAAGAAAACCAATTCCAAGTCTGTGTTTGCAAACAGATGCTTTACAAAGGTGAAACCCGAGGGCAGAACCAAAGAAACAAGTTTTGCAAGGCAGAAGACAACCCTGTGCCCTGCTATGGATCCACAAGAAGACCTACACGCGAGAGACATTCTTTGCTTCTGCCCAACCCAGAGATGCTTTGGAGCTTGCCAGCGGGCAGTGAAACTGCACTTGGTCTCTCTCCCACCAGGGTTTTATTTTGATACTTGTTCACATGTGGGTTGAGAACATAACATTTCAGAGCCACCAGTTCTGGAAGTGAGAGGTGTGGGAAAAGTAAAGAACAGGGAGCCCATGGTCTTCGGAACCACCACTAATAGGGGTCATGCTCAATTTGGAGCAAAACAGTCTGTGGTTTACATGGTGGTCACTTGGAGAAGAACCTGAGAATCCCATGGGACTTTTCGTTTATGTACACATACGTCAAATTTGAATTCCAAATGTAAGGAAGACCAGCAGCTCTGTGAGAAAAGGGGCTCTCCTGGCCAGTCCGCTGGACATCTGCTCTCTTGTGATGGGTATATTTGTTCTGATGTTTTTGCAAAAGTGGCTCTTGGAGAAGAGGTGGTAGCTTCTGGCGAGCACTTCTCTGTACAGTCTGATAGTGACAGGACAAGGGGGGGAATGGTAAGGGCTGGGGGCTGTGAGGACCTTGGATCTCTTCCAACCCAATTGTTCTAATATTCTATGGTTCTATGATCTTCAAGGACACTTCCAACCCAATCATTCTGTGATTCTATGATTCCACGATCTTCAAGAACTCTTCCAACCCAACCATTCTGTGATTCTATGGTTCTATGATATTCAAGGTCCCTTCCAACCCAACCATTCTGTGATTCTATGGTTCCATGATCTTCAAGAATTCTTCCAACCCAATCATTCTGTGATTCTATGGTTCTACGATCTTCAAGGACCCTTCCAACCCAACCATTCCATGGTTCTATGATATTCAAGGACCCTTCCAACACAACCATTCTATGATTCACTGTTTCATCTTTGTTGTGTTCACATCTGCCTAACACAGCCTGACTCCCAGAATGTGAGACCTGACCCCATGAAGTACCTTCTTCCCCCCTTAAGCCCACTCAGACCTTCTGCAGAAGATGCTCACAGCTCTGAGACAGCTGAGCATTAAAAGATGACCCAACCGTAAAAGAGAGAAACAAAAGGCTGAGAAAAGCAGGACAGGTGGAGAGAAAAACAAGGCTGGGGCAATGGGAGAAGGAAAAGAAATGACCTGATTGTATCAGACCATATGAGATTTGTCTCAAGAGCCTTCGTGCCCTCAAGAAACATCTCCACCCCTCCTTATCTTAAGCAAACGGTGGCAGAAGGCCTGGGCTGAGTAAACAGGTTGTTAGGCTGGCAGTGCATGCTGGCAGCTTGCTCTGTTTTATTGCACCCCAAGCTCAGGGTGGGATTTGTTTTTTGAGGCGGTGGGAAGCTATGGGTGAGGTTGAATTTATAGAAGATGCAGCAATCTCCCTGCATGTTAATAGCAGAAATATTGTGGCTAGAGGCAGGATAAAAAAATAAACAAATACTGTACTTCCAGAAACTACCCACAGAAATCATGCTTGCAATGTGTCACAATCAGGCTTTCATCCACGGATATGAAGGATCATTTGCTGAAGATATGGGAAGTCTGGGACAGCACAGAGATGCAGATGTATTTATTTCAATTTTATTGTACCAATTCCATGCTCTGGTGCCTCAAGGGGTTGCATGTGCCATCACTGAGCACATCCAGAAAAAAATGCTTTTAGAGTCAGGCTACACATGGGGTGCACGATGGGACCAAGTGGTGCCCTCATGAGTGGTGTGGGGACCGACCCCATCACCATGGCTAGCATTGGCCACCACTGTTGGCACTTTCAGCAAAGTCATCTCCTGGCAGACTGCTTGCCTGGACCCCTTCCCCTTCCAGGAATTCCCACTGAACCAGCCTGCCATCCTCTCTCCTCTCTGACACGAGGGGAATTTTCTGCCTCTTGAAAGAAAAGGGCCGTGGCACCAACCAAAGCCTTGACCTGATTTGGAAGCCATGGAAAATACCTAACAATGGCAGGAAGGGCCCTGTAAATGATTTCCTCTCCATTAAAATTGAAGTGATAAATCTGTTCCTTCAAATTGCAAGCTATTCATTTTTCCTGGAAGGTGCTATTAGAATAGCTGCTTCTGAATAAGGAATCTATTGCTTCTCTTTTCTGCACAGGACCAGAATGGCTTGGGTTGGGTTGGAAGGGACCGTTTAATTCAGGACCCAGCGCCAACTGAAGAGAAAATGCAACATCTTTATGCCACATTCAGTCATCAGAGCCGAAGCTTGATTCAGCAACTGGGCTGTCCAAGGGGATGGTGCTTCCAACAGGGATGGAAGCAAAGATCTCAGAGGAGGGATGCTCTGCACACCATGGAGTAGGACGTGCCTGCCCAATGAATCACCGCACGGTGCAGCACGCCCATCACATAGAAGGCAGAGGAAGCTGTTTGTTGGGGGATGTCCTGGTTTGGAGGATTTCCTGATTAACTGCATCTTTGGGGAGTGTGCCATAAGTGTGCACTGCCGGCAAAGGCTGAGCATGGAGGTGCAATGAGTCTGCTCTGGCCGTGAGCGCCGTGGGGATTTTTCACATAAAAAGAGTTGGGATACAGATGAGTGATGGGGATCAGTATGGTCACAGCTAAATATCATCCCTTCCTTAGTTTCCACTAAAAATTCTGACCTGTTTCCTACAGGGCTGCCCTCCCATATTGCAAACTCCTGTGATCCCATTTGCTGAGGGCTACAGACAGTTTATGTGGCCCCTCTCCCAAATCCAGACTTCCTACATAGAATCCCAGTGCTTCGACTCTTCCCACCTCTTTTCTCCAGAGTTTGCTACCAGTTCCTGGCAAGGTA